TTTAAAAAAATACTTTTTAGTTCTAGATGGACACAATACCTTTATTGTGTTTATTTATTATGTGGTGCTGAGGATCAGATCCAGCGCTTCACATGTGCTCGGCAAGTGCTCTACCACTGAGCTACAGCCCCGGCCCTGAAGCTCTCTCTTGTACTCTTTTTTGGGGGGGTGGTACCGTGGATTTCAACAGAATGCTTTAATACTGAGCTGTATCCCCAGGCCTTTCTTCCTTCTTTTCTGTCTTTCTTTATCCATTCATTCATTAGTACTGGGAGTTGAACACAGAGGCACTCTACTGCTGAGCCACATCCCCATTCCTGTTTACTTTTTATTTTGAGACAGGGTCTCAGTAAGTTTCTTAGGACCTTGCTAAATTGCTGAGGCTGGCCTGAAATTTGCAATCCTCTTGCCTCCGCCTCCTGAGTTTCTGGGATTACGGGATTACAGGCGTGAGCCAGTGAACCCAGCTTCTTGTACACTTTTTAAAATTGTAGCTATTCAAATGCTACAGAACCATTTGTTGACAAAGACTATCCATTTTTCAATGATTTGTCTTTGTACTTTTGTTGAAAGTCAGTTGACCATAAATATGCGAGTCTATTTCAGGACTAGATGTTTTTCCATTAATTAGTGTGTCTATTCTTTTGCAAAACCTCACTTTGTTTTTCTGGTACTGTAGATCAAACCCAAGGCCTCACACATGCTAGGCAAGTGCTCTATCACTGAGTTACACCTCCAGTGCCAAAACCACACTGTTTTGACTGCTCTAGTGTTATAGTAAACTTTGAGATCAGGTAGCACAAATGCTGCTCCATTATTATCTCTTTACAAAATTATTTGGCTATTTTAAAAAATTTTGGGGATATTTTCATTTTCACATGACTTTTAGAATGCTTGTGTGTGTGTATATATATACACAAAATTACACACACACACACACACACACACACATATATATATATATATATATATATATATATATATATGTACACACACACACATTTAAAAGCCTGATAGGATTTTGATTAGGATTGTTGAACCTACAATTGTGAGAATTAACATTTAAGAATATTTTTGCAGGGCTGGGCTTATAGCTCAGTAGTGGAATGTTTGCCTAACATGTGTGAGGCAGTGGGTTTGACTCTCAGCACCACATAAATATAATAAAATAAAAGTTCATCAATAGGGGCTGGGGATGTGGCTCAAGTGGTAGCTCGCTCGCCTGGCATGCGTGCAGCCCGGGTTCGATCCTCAGCACCACATACAAACAAAGATGTTGTGTCCTCCGAAAACTAAAAAAAAAATTAAGTAAATAATATTAAAAAATTCTCTCTCTCTGTCTCTCACTCTCACATTCTCTCTAAAAAAAAAAGTCCACCAACAACTGAAAACTAAACAATATTATTGCAGCCAGGTGCAGTGGTGTGTACCTGTAATCCCAGCCACTTGGGAGGCTGAGACAAGAGGATCACAAAATCAAGGTCACACTGGGCAATTTAGCAAGCCCTGTCTCAAAATAAAAAATTAAAAAGATCTGAGCATACTGGGCACCGTAATACCAGCAGCTTGAGAGGCTGAGGCAGGAGGATCAGGAGTTCAAAGCCAGCCTCAGCAAAATCGAGGCACTAAGCAAGGCACTTATCTTACTGATAAGACCCTGTCTTTAAACAAAATACAAGATAGGGCTGGGGAAGTGTCTCAGAGGTTGAGTGCCCCTGAGTTCAATCCCCAGTACTCACCCTCCGGAAAAAAAATGTAAATTAAATAAAATAAAAGGTCTGAGCATGTAGCTCAGTGACAGTGCATCTATGGGTTCAACCCCCAGTATTGCAACAACAAAAAAAGGAATATATTCTTTTGCCACTCAAGAACACATAAACACAGTATAATTCTTCATTTGTTTAGATCTTCTTTGGTTTTTCTCAGCAGTGCTTTCTAGTTTTAAGTATACTGCCACTGCACATCTTTTTTGTCATTATCTCTAAGATTTTATTAATTTTTTTTTGCACTGGAGTTTTAACATAGGCGTACTTTACCACTGAGTGACATCCCCAGTCCTTTTTATTTTTTATCTTGAGACAGGGTCTCACTATGTTGCTGAGACTAGCCTAGAACTTGGGATCCTCCTGACTCAGCCTCCTGAGTCACTGGGATTATGGTGTGAGCCACCACCCCAGCAGAAATGCTTTTTATGTAAGGCAGACAACCATAATCTACCCCTACAGGTCCTTGGACTCTGATCAGGATAGAAAGTGGGACTGGTAAAATATGGCTTTCAGGGTAATGTGAACAGGATGGATAGCAAAGCTTATTTGTTAAATCTAGTTCCTCCTCTTCTAGCACTTGTGACTAAGGCACCATCTCTAAAGGAGTTGTCACTGTCCCTCTGCATCCTGATGCCATTTCCCTCTGTAGTTTTGGCGTTTCCAAGGATAGGGACTGGAGCTTGTGGCACTCAGGAAGTGGGAAGGAGATACTGGGTGGAAAGAAGCACCTACAGAGTTTCAAAATGTAGTGAAAAGAGCACTTTTCTAGTAGTCAAGGGACTCTTATCTCAAATCCTGCTTCTGCCATCACTTTCCTAGTGGCCTTGAACAAGTCACTTTCACTCTATAAAATGAAAAATTGATTCAGATGAGATCCTTTCTATCTCAAAAAGTTTATTTATTTATTTTATTGAATCCAGGGTCTTGGGCATGCAAGGCAAGCACTCTGCCAGCTGAACTATATCCCCAGTCCCTCCTTCTCCTCCTCTTCTTCTTCTTTTTTTTTTTTTTTTGGTAGTACTGGAGTTTGAACGCAGCAGTGCTCTACCACTGAGTTACATCCCCAGTCTTTTTCTTTCTTTTTTTTTGGGGGGGAGGGGTACCAGGGATTGAACCCAGGGGCACTCAACCACTGAGCCACATCCCCAGCCCTATTTTGTATTTGTATTTTATTTTGACACAGAGTCTCACTAAGTTGCTTAGGGTCGCTAAATTGCTGAGGCTGACTTTGAACTTATGATCCTCCTGCCTCAGCCTCCCGATTATAGGTGTATGCCCCTGTGCCCAGACTGAATCCTTTCTTATCTTTATTTTAGACAAGGTCTTGCTGAGTTCCAGAGTCTGGCCTCAAACTTGTCTTCCTCCTGCCTCAGCCTCCAGAGTAGCCAGGATTATGCACCATTACACAGGCTGTTTATTCTTTTTTTATGAGGAAAGCAGTCATATTTCATTTTTGTCTCCCAGAATCTAGCACAGTGCCTGATACATTGTGAGGGTCATAGAAATGCTGTGATTAGTGAATGAATGAATGAACGAATGAACAGAGTACTACAAAAATGAGGTTCTGGGGCTGGGGCTGAGCGGGAACGCCCTTGCCTGGCATGTGTGAGGTTCTGGATTTGATTCTCAGCACCATATGTAAATCAAACAAAATAAAGGTCTAAAACAACTAAAAATATATATAAAACAAAAATGAGGTTCTAGCCGGGCATGGTGGCACACGCCTGTAATCCCAGCAGCTCAGAAGGCTGAGGCAGGAGGATTATGAGTTCAAAGCCAGCTTAGCAATTTAGTGAGGTCCTAAGTAACTAAGTGAGTCCCTGTCTCAAAATAAAACATAAAAAGGGCTGGAGATGTGGCTTAGTGATTAAGCATCCATGGGTTCAATCCCCAGTATCAAAAAATAAAAATAAAATTGTCAGGTGAGGTAGTATATGCCTGTAATCCCAGTGGCTCAGGAGGCTGAGATAGGAGGATGCGAAGTTCAAAGCCAGACTCAGCAATAGCAAGGTGGCAAGGTGCTAAGCAACTCAGCGAGACCCTGCCTCTAAATAAAATACAAAACAGTGCTGGGGATGAGGCTCGATGGTTGAGTGCCCCTGAATGAATGAACAGAGTACTACAAAATCAATCCTGGGTACCAAAAAAAGAGGTTCTTAGACCTGACAAGCCATGGGATCACCTCTGTACATAACCACAAGGGAGTGTTGATGGTCTCAGACCAAGGGAAAGCTTTAGATTAGACTAAAGACCAAAAAAAGAAGAAGAGGAGGAAAAAGAGAGAGGAAGGAAGGAAAGGAGGAAGAAAAAGAATTAAGGAATCAGTAGCTCAGTATTTTATAACCTTTAAAAATCTTTTTTTTTCTTTTTTAGGGGGGTACTGAGGATTGAGCTCAGGGGCAGTCAGCCACTGAGCCACATCCCCAGCCTGATTTTGTATTTCATTCAGAGACAGGGTCTCACAGAGTTGTTAAGTGCCTTGCTAAATTGCTGAGGCTGGCTTTGAACTCATGATCCTCCTGCCTCAGCCTTCCCAGCCGCTATGATTACAGGCGTGGGCCACCTCTTTAACAATCTTCTAAAAAAGACTGTACCACTTAAAATAGTATTCTCAAATGAGAATTTCTGAACTTTGATAACATATTTTCCTATAACAAATTCATAGGTGTTTTTTTTTTTTCTTTTTTGGGGGGATGGTGGATACCAGGATTGGACTTAGGGGCACTTGACCACTGAGCCACATCCCCAGCCCTATTTTGTATTTTATTTAGGGACAGGGTCTCCCTGAGTTACTTAGCCCCTTGCTTTTGCTAAGCCTGTCTTTTTTTTAGTTTTAGGTGGATACAGTATCTTTATTTTTTATTTTTATGTGGTGCTGAGGATTGAACCCAGTGCCTCATGTATTTTAGGCGAGCACTCTACCACTGAGCCATAGCCCCAGCCCTAAGCCTGTTTTTGAACTCATGATCCTCCTCTCTCAGCCTCCAAAGCCACTGGGCTAGTTTTTTCTTTTGATGTAAGTATGTCTTTGGATCTTTTCCCTCAAATATGTTCATTACACTTTTCTTGATCCCATAGGGACTGACTATTACATGCTGTATTTTCCGGGTTCTGTTGCCTTCCTATTGGGTTTGGCCAATTAGACTGTGACACGAGATTGGAGGGCTGGAGGAGGGGAGAGTATTTCTCCACTGCTGTCTGCTTCAGGTGGCATATCTAGCAGTGAATGTATCTTTCCTATCTCCATGGATCCAATTACCCAGTGTGTTCCAGAAGATACTTTAAAAAAATATATATATATATATTTTTTTTTTAGTTTTAAGTGGATACAATATCTTTATTTTTATGTGGTGCTGAGGATCGAACCCAGTGCCTCACACGTGCTAGGTGAGCGCTCTACCACTTGAGCCACATCCCCAGTACTCTTAAGTCATTGTAATAAATTCTCTTTTATGCTCTAAAAAAAGGAGAAGACGAAGAAGTAAGAAATCAGAGGGCCATGGGCTGGGGTTGTGGCTCAGTTGGTAGAGTTTTTGCCTAGCATGAGTGAGGCACTTTAGATTAGACTAAAGACTAAAAAAAGAAGAAGAGGAGGAAAAAGAGAGAGGAAGGAAGGAAAGGAGGAAGAAAAAGAATTAAGGAATCAGTAGCTCAGTATCTTACAACCTTTAAAAATCTTTTTTTTCTTTTTTCTAAGTGAGCACCACATATAATAAATAAAGGTCAATCAACAACTAAAAACAATTTTTTTAAGAAATCAAAGGGCCAGATATTTTAATGGGACAGCAGAAGCCTGGAATTCTGTCCTACCTTCTTTTCTCTAGTGAAGAGAAAATAAATCCAATGCATTGAAGTTTTCATAACTGCCATATTGTTAAGGTAATTCTGGGAGGGCAGAAGAGTATACATGGCCCTGAGTGAGTGACTAGCACAAAGTCACACAGGAGCAGTCAGAATGTCCAGGTGGTAGCCCAGAGGCTCACCTGACCCAGGACTGGACATTCTTCCCTGTCATCCCCTCACACTCATCCAGACCGCATCTCTCTCACCTCTGAGTTTCTCATATGGAGTCATCAAGTCTCATGATGATTTATTGTCCTGAAGAGTCCCTCTGCTCCCCAGCACCCCAGGAAGACTAAACATCAAACATGATCTTGGGCCAGGCCAAGTGGTACATGCCTATAATCCCAGCGGCTTGGGGGGCTGAGGCAGGAGGGTTGCGAGTTGAAAGTCAGCCTCAGCAATTTAATGAGGCCCTAAGTACTTAGTGAGACCCTGTCTGAAAATAAAATAAAATTTTAAAGGGCTGGGGGTATGGTTCAGTGGTTAAGCACTCCTGGGTTCAATACCTGCTATCAAAAACAAACAAACAAATCTTCGGTACCGGGGGGCAGAATGCCTGGCCCATCCTTCTTGAGTGGCATCCCCAGCACTGCAAAAAAGGAAAAAACAAAAACAAAATCCCCAAACATTATCTTAATTAGCCAGCAGAGGACAAGATGTTGAATATGTTGGAATCCTTGAAAAAGCCTCACTCTTTTACCTACCCACCTTGCATGTTGTCCTTTACCCAGTGCAGCTCCTGCTGCATACAGAGAGATGGCCAATGAAAGGTGATGACCGAGTGGGGCATTTTTCCAGTTGGGACTGAGATCATGGGGAGACAGGACGAGGTGTGGTGACAGCATGTCTCAGGGCCCACAGCTCTGAAACAGGGTTTGGGGAATAGAGGAGAGGGTGGGGTGCTGTTGAACTCTGGCTACACAGATCCGAGTGGGAAAGGTGAAGTGGCAGTGTGGGTGACACAGGTGGAAGGACGAAATAATACAGAGCAGAATAAGAAGGCATGTCCAGGTCCACCCAGGTCCCCACAGGCCCAGCATTCCCTGCAGGGGGCGAACAGGAAGCTGTGACTTCCTCTCTCCTTTCCCTCTCTGGGCTTACCCTCAAGGTTATTTGCTGCTGAGATGAATTCCAACCTGTGTTTTAGTTGGCACTGTGCCCTGGGCATGATGACAATAGCTGCTCAGTGTCCAGCTCCCCTGCACCACAATCGCCCCAAACTTCTCCTTTGAAATAGCAGTCATTCCTGCACAGACATACAAAGTGCTGTCTCACACGTATTAACTTAATTCATTACACCAATTTTGTTAGAGATTTTTTTTTTTTTAAACTGGGGATTGAACTCAGGAGCACTTAACCACTAAGCCATACCCCCAGTCCTCTTTTATATTTTATTTAGAGACAGGGTCTCACTAAATTGCTTAGTTCCTCGATAAGTTGCTGAGACTGACTTTGAACTGGTGATCCTCATGCCTCAGCCTTCTAAGACACTGGGATTACAGGCGTGTACCACCATGCCCAGCCAGAGACTTTTATCTGGAAAAAAAAAAAAAAAAAAAATTCCCCTACTGAGAACTGAATCCAGGGCCTTGCACGTGCTGAGTAAGTAAGCACCCTGCCACTGAGCACTGAGCTGTACCCCCTCTCTCTCCACATTTTCTTTTTTTTTTAAGCTGGGTCTTGCTATGTTGCCTAGGGAACCTCAAAACTCCTGGATTCAGGTGGTCTTGCTACCTCAGCCTCCTGTGTAGCCAGGACTACACGTGTGTCACCACGCCTAGTTAATCCTGAAAATTTTGTTTTGTTTTGTGGTGCTGGGATTGAACCCAAGGTCTCGTATCACTGAGCTATAGCTCCAGTTCTTTTTATTTTGGAGGGACAGGGTCTCACTAAGTTATTCAGGCTATCCTTGAATTTGGGATCCTCCTGTCTCAGCCTCCTGAGTAGCTGGGACAACAAGTATATGCCACTGCACTTGGTTAACTCCTGGAACTTTTAAGCAAAGAAATAAGCTCAGGAAGTAAAATAACTCACCCAAAGGCACACAGCTAGTGAGTAGCAGATGTGAGACTCAAGACCCTCTGCTCCCTCTTCTCAGACACTTGTCCTGATTCCTGCCTCTGTGTCCACTCCTTGCCCCTCCCCTGGGCCCCAAGAGAGCACTTTCTGCAGAGGGACTCTGCACACGGTTGGGAGTAGAGGGAAGCCAGGAGCATTGGCACACACCTGGGATTACAGACTTGAGAGGCTGCGGCAGGAGGATCACAGTTTGAGGCCAGTCTGGGCATTTTGGGAGAGACCTTCTCTCAAAAACAAAAACAAAAAAATCCCCCAACAATAGAAAAGGCTAGGGATGTAGCTCAATGACAGAACGCTTGCCTAGCATGGATGAAGCCTTGGTTTGACTCCTGTTATTCCTGAGCTGTCTCCTGGAGCGCCCTCCACAGTGAAGTCATGCCCTCTTCTCCCCTTCCTCATTGCACAGATCTCTCTCTCTCTCTCTCTCTCTCTCTCTCTCTCTCTCTCTCTCTCTCTCTCCCTTCCCCCCACCCCACACACACACCCAGGTTTCAGGTCCCTCTTGGTATGCCCCACCCACCACTGGACTGGCCCAACAGGGAGCAGGCAGCTGTCCTCACACCCCTCCCTCTGAGGTGTGGGTGTGGGCTGCAGCTCCTGGCTGGCGGCTATAGGCCGCAGAGAAGCACTCACACCCTGAGCCTCCCGCTGAGCGCCTCAGTGGCCCCTGCCAGCCTGGCAGGCACTTGCTGGCTCTTTATTCAGCATCACCAACCTCCGATGCCCTGCGATGCCCACACCCAACACCTCCTCCCCTCTACCCACGTTCTTCTGGGTCAACGCCTCTGGAGGCAGCGCGCTGAGTGCCGAGGATGCTGGGATGCCCGTGCAGTTCCTCGCCCTCAGGGTCACGGTTGCTTTGGCCTACGGGATGGTAGGGGCCGTCGGCTTGCTGGGCAACTCGGCTGTGCTGTGGGTGCTGGGCAGCTGCGCGCGGGGAGCCCCTGGCCCACCTTCCGACACTTTCGTCTTCAACCTGGCTCTGGCGGACTTGGGGCTGGCCCTCACTCTCCCCTTCTGGGCGGCAGAGTCAGCACTGGACTTCCACTGGCCCTTTGGAAGTGCCCTTTGCAAAGTGGTCCTGACGGCCACTGTCCTCAACATCTACGCCAGCATCTTCCTCATCACAGCACTGAGTGTCGCCCGATACTGGGTGGTGGCCATGGCTGCGGGGCCAGGCACTCACCTCTCACTCTTCTGGGCCCGTGTGGCCACCCTGGGAGTGTGGCTGGCGGCGGCTCTGGTGACAGTGCCCACGGCCATCTTTGGGTCTGAGGGCGAGGTGTGGGGTGTGCGCCTCTGCCTGCTGCGCTTCCCCAGCAGGTACTGGCTGGGGGCCTACCAGCTGCAGAGGGTGGTCCTGGCTTTCGTGGTGCCCTTGGGCGTCATCACCACCAGCTACCTGCTGCTGCTGGCCTTCCTGCGGCGGCGGCAGAGGCGGCGGCAGGACAGCAGAGTTGTGGCCCGCTCTGTCCGTATCCTGGTGGCCTCCTTCTTCCTCTGCTGGTTCCCCAACCATGTGGTCACTCTCTGGGGTGTCCTGGTGAAGTTTGACCTGGCGCCCTGGAACAGCACTTTCTACACCATCCACACCTACGTCTTCCCCGTCACCACGTGCCTGGCACACAGCAACAGCTGCCTCAACCCCGTGCTCTACTGTCTCCTGCGCAGAGAGCCGCGGCAGGCCCTAACAGACACCTTCAGGGACTTGCGCTCAAGGCTGTGGCCCCAGGGCCCAAGCTGGGAGGAACATGTGGCCCTAAAGGAGGTAGGCAGGCAGTGGGCAGCCAGTACGCCCCAGGAGAGTGGTCCTTCTGCCATGCTCATGAACGGGGACAAAGGGACACCTGGGTGAAGGGTACAGCAGGTGCAGGATCCACACATTCTAAGCTGCCCTGGGCCAGGCTGCAGTGTCCTGTGGGAAAGTCTGACCTTTGATCACCAACTCTGGGTGTGGTGGAATGGGGGAGGCCAGGGCCTGGGGCCAGGGGAGAAGGGCTGGGGCAATGGCTCACAGAGGTGGGAAAGAGGAGGAACCGAGAATAAACCTCTGTCACCTACAGGTGTCTTGACCCTTCATCCTTGCTCCGCCTCCAGGACAGTGCAAGAATTCTCAGGACATTTTCCCCGTAGGGGTCTAGGCTCATGGATCAGAGGTCAGTGCCCATCTCCCTCTGTCCGTCCTCCCCACCCTCACCTCTAAACAGACTATTTCTTTTTGTGTATATATATATATATATATATATATATATATATATATATATATATATATATTTTTTTTTTTTTAGTTGTCAGTGGACCTTTATTTTATTTATATGTGGTGCTGAGAATTGAACCCAGGGCCTCACTCATGCTAGGCAAGCACTCTACCACAGAGCCCCAGCCCCAGACCTAAATGGGTTATTTCTTTTCCTTATTTGGTACCAGCACTTACAGTGCCCTCTTCCCCTGGCCACTTACCAATTTAGGGGTACCACAGAAACTTGATGCCAGAAGACTCAGCCTCAAGAGCTGTAGCTCCCCTGCAGCTCCCTGCAATGCCAGCTGTGGGGTCTTGCCAGAATCCCTTGCACCTGCCAGACCCGTGTGTAAATCCCTGGTGCTGTCTCTCCTTGAATTAGGATTTGGAAGGTTATCACTGGTGCCTATAATCCCAGTGGCTCAGGAGGCTGAGGCCCGAGGACTATGAATTCCAAGCCAGCCTCAGCAATTTAGCAAGGCCCTGAGAAGTTTACTCAGTGACCCTGTCTCTAAACGAAATGCAAAAAAGGGCTGGGAATATGGCTCAGTGGTTGAGTGCCCCCGAGTTCAGTCCCCAGTAGTACCCCCCTCAGAAAAAAAGTGATAACAGCAAGTCAAAGACACGTATGGGGCAGACGGAGGTGAAAGATGCAGAAAGGAGTGGAGGGAAAGAAGGCGAACTGTAGGGCTAAAGAAGTGGAAAATGGTGCGAGTCTAACTCCCTACCCTGAATGCATAGCTCCAATTCAACATAGCTAGAGCACCTGATTTTCACCTTTACCTCAGACAAGTTACTTACCGCTTTGTGCCTTAGTTTTCTAATCTGTAAAATGGATTGTTGAGGGTTCAACGATGCAAGAAATATAGTGTTTTTGCTATTATTCTCACATCCCATGTAAAATGGGGACGAAGGGAAAGGAGGAAATAAAGGGCAGCTGGTCTTTTTGGAAGTGGTTTTACATGCCATGGGTTGTAAGGAAAGTCTCGCAGTAAACCCCTCTCAAAGATGGGTCTCTAGGACAGAGGGCTCGACTTGGTTTATTTTTGGTACCAGGGATTGAAAGCAGGGACACTTAACTACTGAGCCCCATCCCCAGCCTTTTTCGTTTGTGTGAGTGTTGCCTGGAATTCAACCCAGGGCCTTGTGCATGCAAAGCAAGCACCCTACCAACTGAGCTGTATCCCCCAGCCCTCCTTTATATTTAACTTAGAGACAGGGCCTTGCTGAGTTACTTAGCGCCTCTCTAAATTGCTGAGGCTGGCTTTGAACTCGCAATCGTTCTGCTTCAGCCTCCCACCTTCCAAACTGCTTGGATCATAGGTGTGTGCCATTACACACTCCCATTTGTTTGTTGGGTACCAGGGATTGAACTCAGGGGCACTCAACCACTGAGCCACATCCCTACTTCCATTTTGTACTTAGAGACAGAGTCTCACTGAGTTGCTTAGCACCCTTGCTTTTTGTCAGTGCTGGCTTTGAACTCATAATCTTCCTGACTTAGCCTCCTAAATCACTGGGATTACAGGCGTGAACCACCACCCCTGGCCTCCCGTTTTTAATGATGGTTAGCTATTAGAAGGGAGTTTTAGGGGGAGAGTCCTTGGAAAGAAGGTAAGAGGCAGAGGGAGGCTGGGCTGGAGGTTCCACTTCCATTGCCCTCCACTGTCCGCTCTCTGGCACACCTTGTAACCCAGGACACCAGCACCCTCTCTGAAGGGGAGACCATGTGCCTCCAGGCTCCTTTCCCTGCCCTGTACCATTCAGTTGCTGAGAAGAGGCCACCCAATTCACAGCATATTAAGCAATGGGAAAGAGATTTAATTAGCCCACTGATGTTTAATTTCCTCTTTTTGATAATGTTTAAACTGGTTCCAAAACTCCAGGTCAGTTCCCAGCCAATTCAGGAAGATGGAAAATGCTCCCCTACCTAAGTATCCCTCTTCCCACCTCCAGCAGCCTGCGGATATTGGCTCCTCTGGGGGCATCTTGGCTTTATGGGAACCGGAGGTAAATATTGACAAAATTTACAAAGGTCCAAGTCAGCGACGAGTTAATGCACATAGACTTGCCTTTGGAGGAGAGTGGGAGAGAGGAAGGGCAGTGGAGGGGGAAGCCTGGGCAGGGTGGGATGCGGCAGGCTTGGATCTCCTCTGGGAGTGGAAGGCGCAATGGAAGGCTTGACTTGGAAACTGCAGCAGGATGCCTGCCCGGTGGGGCATGCCTAGAACCCCTGCAGTTTGGGAGTTGAGGCAGGAGAATCCCAAGTCTCGGGACAGTCTCAAAAAAACACCTGGGGATACAATTCAGTGGTAAGGCACCCTTGGGTTCAGTCACCAGAACCAACCATCCACCTCCACCACCAAAAAAAAAAATATAAAAAAAGCAGCAGGAGGGATAGAGGTCCAATCGGAGTTTTGAAAAGTGGAATTAAAGAGGTGACAAGGGTCAGGATGATGAAAGCTGGGAGGCTCTAGCTGTCGGGGATCAGCATCAGAGAAATGTTTTGGCACCACATTTTGGGGCAGAAGACAAGGAGCTGCTGAGGCCTGGGTCTGTTTGAAACTTGAAGCTCTGACATTCTCAGGCAGAGAAGTGAAGGGCTGGAACTAGGACTGGCTTTTTCCTGGCTTGGTGACTTTTTTGCACCCAGCCTATAAAATGAGGACTTTTTCTACCTCCTAGGATTTCAATAATGGATGAGATAAAGCCCCTTGGAAGATCCAGATGCGGGTTAGTGTCTCCATGCAACCTCAAGTCTTCCTAAGCGGGCTTTTGAGCCCCCTTCTTCTCATCTCACCCCGCAGGCTCCAGCAGTGTGCACAACCAGCACGGACACAGCCCCATGCTCTCCACCCCTGGCCCAAATAAAGGGTGTTAACTAGAAATGAGAAGTGAAATGAGGTGAAAACAAGAACCAAAACCAGAGGCAAAGAGCAGACGAGGAGCTTGGGTGAAGGCTGACACTGGGGACAAACCAGAGCAGGAGGGGAGTTGGATATGAAATGAGTGACACTGGGGAGGTTACAAGAACCGGGCTAAAAGGGGCAAGAGGCAGACAGGACTTCTAGCACAGCACACAAATAAGATGAAAGTAAGCTTTGTAACAGCTGCTGGAACCTCAGTGCCTTTTTTTTTTTTTTTGGTACTGCAGATTGAACCCAGGGGCGCTTAACCACTGAGCCACATCCCCAGCCCTTTTTATTTTTAATTTTGGAACAGGGTCTCACTAAGTTGGTTAGGGCCTTGCTAAGTTGCTGAAACTGCCTCAAACTTGTGATCCTCCTGCCTCAGCCTCCTGAACTGCTGGGATTACACACATGATCCACTGTGCTGGGCTAGCCCTTTTTCTGAATTTTTGGAGACAGGGTCTCACTCATTTACCCGGCTGGCCCTGACCAGGCAATCCTCCTGCCTTAGCCTCCTGAGTAGCTGAGATTACAGGCATGTGCCACCATGTCCAGAATAATTGTTCATTTTAAAGATCTGCATGGCTTCATTCATTAGTGCCCCTTCTCTGCAGTGAGGCAGAGGGCCCTTCTGGTGAGACCACGAGACCCAGAGGGGAATCTGGGTCACTCCTGCTTGCTCTCTCACCATCACCCTCAGAACTAGCAGATATTAGAAGACAGCACTTCATGGGTTTTTAGTCTTTAATTTTCCCTGCTTGATCTTTTCCTTTCTTTTTTTTTTTTTTAACAATCATATTGGCAGAAAAATGGTTGGAGCTGGTGGGCACTGGGGGAGTCCACTGAAAAACCCCCCAAATTCACGCTGAGGTTTCAGGTTATGGTTACTGAGGTGGGAGATGAAGTCAGGATTCATACAGCTTCCCCAACCCACCCTAGAACTTCTTCCAAATGGCTGATAAAGAGGGTCAGATAGGAGCTCCATTACTCTAGATGAAGGGAGAGGTCACTCTCCCCATTCTTCCCTCAAGTTCAGAGTTGGAAATAGAAGGCTACGATCTCTACTGCCTACAATCTTCTCTTAAAAGTATAAAACACGTGCAGTTGGCTTTGGTACAAAAAAAGAAAAGAAAAGAAGAGTAAAACATTCTGGTCCCTGTGGGTTTTTTCCCTCACCCCCAATAAACCATTATGGCTGCCCTAACTTCTATGCCACCAACTCTAGGAAGCCAGGTCCTCTCTCCCTGGATTTCCTGGAGGATGGAGAGAGCAGTAGTAAGAGGTGGAGGGGAGCAGGGAGAGGGGTGTGGCCCTGCCCACAGCCCTCCTTAAAGGGGCAGTAGGGTCCTGTGGTTGTAGCCTCTTGTTGAAGATGTGTGTGGCTGGGGATGGATGTCAGGGCCAGAACCTGTCAGCTCATGGCTAACCCTGAACACACCCCAGTAGTGTTAAAGGACAAGGCCCCCTGATCCCTATGGCTTGGTTCCCATGTCCCTGGTCCTTTAAATCGCCCCTCTCCCCCCATAACTAATAAACAATAAATAAATAAATTTTCCTAAAGTAGAGGGAAGAAGGCATGAAAAATTGGCATCTGTGGTGTAGCTTTTGGATGCCACCAAGGGGATACCGTGGCCTAAACCCCCTGGCTTGCTAAATGGCCCCAGGTATCCAAGGATTCCAAGAGCTGGCAAGGATGATCAGCAGTTCTTTCAAACGTTCCCTCATCATTAGCAGATTGGAGTCACCAAGGTTTGCCCTCCTCAGTAATGTTCTTCAGTGGGGTGCAGCACAGGGAGAGGGAACCCCTTAGCTCTCTGAAGCCACAGGCTCCCCATCGCGGCTCTCTATCTCCTCCGGGATGTCCTGCATTCGAGTGAAGTCTGCAGAGGACAGGGTAAAACAGTGAGTGAGCTGAGTCTCCCATGAGGAACTGTCCCCTACACTAAAGCCTTCCCACCTGAGGGCTGGGGGACTCTGAGTGCTCGGGAGGATGACTCCTTGGGACAGGAGAAAACCATCAGCAGCATGTCCCCACCTAGATACTTGGTATACTTCCTAAATACACAGATATACAATTTGATCAATAAAATACAAAACACTTAGAATTATAATATGAAATTATAATCTAGCTAGTTATTTTGTATTTCCTGAACCAACTTTTAGAACTCGGAGATCTCTGAAATCAATTTACTTTTGGGTGTGTGTGAGTGTTACCAGGGATTGAAGTCAGGGGCACGTCTCCAGCCCTTTTCTGTATTTTATTTTGAGACAGGCTCTTTCTGTGTTGCTTAGGGCCTTGCTAAATTGCTGAGGCTGGCTTTGAACTCGCAATCCTCCTGCCTCAGCCTCCCGAGCTGCTGGGATTACAGGCACACACCACTGTGCCCAACCACTCAGTAATTGTTTATTACTTTGAAGCTCTATTTTCATGGGCTGGGAGTATGGCTCAGTGGTAGAGCACTTGCCTAGCTCACACAAGGGTCCTGGGTTTGATTCCCCACACTGCAAAAAATTAATAAAAATCTATTTCTTTTTGAAAAAGTTGGGAGTCACCAACCACTCCTTATTAGGCAAAATATCTGTCCCTTTGGAGAGTTACTGTGGCCTGGCTTGCTGGCACATTCCTATAATCTCAGAGGTTTGGGAGCCTAAGGCAAGAGGGCTGCAAGTTCAAAACCAGCCTCAGCAACTTAGTGAGATCCTATCTTAAGATAAAAAATAAAAAGGGTGGCTCAGTAGTTCAGTGCCCCTGGGTTTGATTCCAGCACCTGGGTGGTCAGTTAGCACCCACCTGGAAGCCACAGCCTAAGAGCTGCAGCTCACCTCCACTGCAGATCCCACCAGGGTCTCACCTCGTGGACTGTGGGGTGGGGACAGACGGCTGCTGCCTTCCTCCTCACTGCCAGTGTCAGGGTCACTGCTGTCTTGTAGCCGCTCTTCTGGGCTACCCAGCTCCTGCCTCTCACGGTCCTCAAAGGGTCGGTGGACAGAGCGAACAGTCACGGGCAGATCCAGGCGGTCATGTCCCCGGCTGGGCTGTGGAAAGCGGGCAGAAACTACAGCGGGCTGGACAGTGTGAGGACTGCAGGCTCTGCCTCCCTGGGGGTGGGGTGTCCAAAACCCACTCCTTCTCAACAGTGACTCCCTGGGGTAGACTCCCCACCAACTGATCACTTTTCCTGTGGCCATCCAGGTCATTTTCCTTCAGCACCCATCCCTGTACCTGGGGAAACTTCTTTGTTTTCTAACCAATGTTTTTTTTTTTTTTTTGACAGTACTGGGGATTGAAGCCAGAGGCACTCTGTCACTGAGATCCATTTTTTAAAAATTTGAGGCAGGGTCTCCCTAAGTTCTGAGGCTGGCTTCAAACTTGGGATCCTCCTGCCTCAGACCCTGGAGGCCGAGACAACAGGCCTGTGGCCACCCCAAGCACCCAGCTCCAACCAAATTCTTAGTATTCTTCCAGGCTGCTGCTTGATTTCATTGTGGGGGGCCCTCTGTCACCTGAGGCTGGGTTACCACTCTAGGCAGCCCTACCTGGGGGGGCGTGAAGCTCAAGTACAGGGCGTCGCCAGCGGGGAGGCTGCGCCTGCGCGGATCCAGAGGCCGGCGCGCCCAGGGCGCCTCGGCAGGGAGCGGCTCGGTCTGGCCCAGGGCGGCCAGCTGCCTGCGGGCCTCCTCAGCCTCGCGCTCCAGCAGCGCGCGGGCCTGCTCGCTCTCGCGGAGCCGCGCCTCCAGGCTGCCCGCCTCGGTGGCCCGCTCCTCGCCCAGCCGCCGGCAGCGCCGCAGCTCCTCCTGCAGCAGCGCGTGTTGCCGCTGCAGCAGCGCCAGCTCGGTGGCTTGCTTGTCCGGGGCCACGGGGGCGGCCGCCGCCCTGCCAGCCTCCCCATCCCGAGAGTTGGCTCGGGCCAGCTTATCCCGCCGCTCAGGGCCCTCGGGGAACCGGGCTTCCATCAGAGTGTCCTGCTGGGCCACAGCCGCCTGGGGTAGGACAGGGACAGAAGGGTATGTCAGACAACCTGGTTCCCGGACCCCTGGCCCTCAGCCTTCAGCCCTGTTAGGACGACTGTGCTCGACTGTACTCATTCCACGGTCTCGGCCAGGCTCCGCCCTCCGGCCTGGGGGCGGTCCTCGCCTACTGACCTGCAGGCCATGCAGAAGTCCATAGAGATTGACCACCCGCTGTAACGCCTCCTGAGGACAGAGGAGAGGGTGGGAACAGTGCCCAAGCTTCAGGACGGGAGAACTGCCCAGAAGTTGAACAAGAGTGGGTGTGGGGACAACAGGATCTCGAGAGGCTCCGAAGTCCACACGCTGTCCCCCGCACCACTCCAAATTGGGGTTTTTCAGGCTGAGAATACCGCCCCCCCAACAGGCTCCTGTGCTATCAAGTTCCCGCCTCACCTCTTGGGGGGATCTCAGCTGGTTTCCATTTCGATCCTGCAGAAATGGGCAAGGGTAGGGAGTCAGCAGACCCCCAAGTCCCTGGTGCCTGCCCCTGAGAACTCTGTGCCGAGCACCCACTGGTCTGCTATCCCCTGCCCAACCTCCAGCTGCATCCTGGAATCTCAAGGACCCACCTTCTGGCTGGAGTCGGAGTCGGCTCTGCAGAGTTCAATGGAACCATTGAAGGTTCTGGCCTCCCCATCTGTTGAGAGGTGGAAAAGGATGGGCTAAGCTCAGTTTCCCAGGGCCCTGACCTGCTCCACCCCTGGCACTGCACCTCCCCACAGTCTTTTCAGCTCCTCCCACATACTGCGTTGGTCCCCTGCCCTGGCACTCACTGGCAGTAACCCCAGGACTCGTGTTACCACCGCTGTCCGGTTCCAAGGGCAGGGCCGACTCTCGGGGCGTCAGGAGCAGCTCCACTCCAGGCCCCACCAGCAGGTCTTTCAAGCCCTCCACTGAGGGAAAGAGGAGTAGGTTAAGGACAGGAATGACAGACCGCTCTGAGGTGTATCGTTCACCCGACAGACACACACGCCACCCGAGCCAGACCCCTCCAGGACAGTGGGGTTTAACCCACAATCCCACAGGAGACAAAGGGCATCGAAGAAGCCCGGTGGGGAGCAGGAGCAAGTGCAGTGGGAGAGGTGTCAGCAACCCACCCACCAACTGGCACAGGACGGTAGGCTGCGGGGTACACCTCCTCCGCCTGTGTGTACCCAGATCTAGCCACGAGTCCATATTCTGACGGCGAGCACACAAGCCCATCTCCCCCAGAGCCCCCTCACCCTCACGGATAGCATCCTGCAGCAGCCGCTCGCCCCGGGGGGATTCCAGGGACTCAGAGCGGAAAAGGCCCCTGGGCAGGGTGGGCAGGGACATTCCACTGCCACCGTCTTCTTCTGCCTGGAAGTGGGTCATCTCAGCAAACAGCCCGACCTTCTCCTGCAGCAGCTCCACCAGTGCGCGGTCCTTCTGCTGCAGCTCCACTGCAGATAAGGAACAGATGAGCACCCGGGCCCGGGGCCCGGGAGAGCCAGTGGAGGGCTGGGCCGAGTGGCTGGACTTCACTTTGGGCGCTCAACCTCTGAGCCACACCCCAAGCCCTGTTTTATATTTTGAGACAGGGTCTCACTGAGTGGCTTAGCGCCTCGCTTTTGCTGAGACTGGCTTTGAACTCATGATCCTCCTGCCTCAGCCTCCTGAGCCGCTGGGAATACAGGGGTACGCCACTGGGCCGGCTATTTTATTTTATTTTTATGTGGTGCTGAGGATTGAACCCAGTGCCCTCACACATGCTGGACAAGCGCTCTACCACTAGGCCAAAATCCAGCCCCTCCTTTATTCTTCCCTGCTAGTGGGATGCAGATGTGATGGTGGAGCTGAAGAAGCCACTTTGGATGTAGAGATGAAAGTTGAAGATGGCAGTAACACTATCTTACACTTCTTACTCTTGGACTCTTAAATAGGAATAATCTACATTTCTGGTTTTTTGGGTACCAGAGATTGAATCCAGGGGCACTTCACCACTGAGTAATATCCCTAACCCTTTTTATTTCGAGACAGGGTCTCACTAAGTTGCTGAAGCTGGCCTTAAACTTGCAATCCTCCTGCCGCAGCTTATTGAGTTGTTGGGATCACAGGCAGGTGGCACTGTGTCTAGCCAAGAAATAATCTACTTTTTAAAAAGGGGACTTTTGTTGGTATTTCCGTATAGCAGTTAGGTCACATATACCCTAACCGATATTAAGGCTCTATGATAAAAAAGTTAAGTTCCTTGCCCAACCCTGGTGTTCCTAATTTCCTGTTCCAGACGCAGCCACAGTAATATCTTTCTAGTAATATCACACACATACACACAGACAACATGTATGTAATTGTATCTATTCACATTTTGTAAATGTGTATGGGGTACTAAGGATTAACCCAGGGGCACTTAACTACTGAGCCACATCCCCAGCCCTTTTAATGTTTTATTTTGAGACAGGGTCTCACTTAATTGCTTAAGGCCTTGAACTTGCAATTCTCCTGCCTCAGCCTCCCTAGTTGCTAAGATTACAGGTATGAGCCTCTGCCCTAGCTAGCACATTACTTTCTTCTTCTTCTTCTTTTTAAATATTTTTTTTTAGTTGTAGTTGGACACAATACCTTTATTTTATTTGTTTATTTTTATGTGGTGCGGGGGATTTTGAACCCAGTGCCTCACGCATGCTAGGCAAGCACTCTACCCCTGAGGCACAACCCTGGCCCCTCCACATTACTTTTAAACAAAGTGTAGCATACACTTTACATTGTTTAAAATTTTGCTTTCAGGCTGGGGATGTGGCTCAAGCAGTAGCGCGCTCGCCTGGCATGCGTGCGGCCCGGGTTCGATCCTCAGCACCACATACAAACAAAGATGTTGTGTCTGCCGAAATCTAAAGAATAAATACTAAAAAAATTCTCTCTCTCTCCCTCTCTCTCTAAAAAAAAATTTTTTTGCTTTCTTCACTTAATGTGTTTGGTTTTAGATCTATACCAGCCCTCATGGAGCTATCTCATCTTTTAATAGTTGCGTAGTATTCCATTGTGTGGATATGTCATAAATCATGTGACAAGTTCCCTATAAGTATACATTTTTTTAAGTTGTAAATAAAATGTAAATTTATTTTCTCATTTTTATGGGTGCTAAGAATCAAACGCAGTGCCTCACACATGTCAAACAAGCACTCTACTACTGAGCTACAACCTCAGCCCCAGGGGGACTTACTCTTGATCCGCCGTAGGTATGCCTCATCCTCCGTCTCAATCAGGGGGAAGTCCTCCCTGGATGGGCATCTGGAGGGGTCACAAGTTGGACAGGGTTTAGGAAGACACTAGGTCACAAACCCGGTGTCGGCCTTCCCTTACTTCCCACACATCCTACACTCCCCTCGTCTAGTCAGGCTCTTCATCTTCAGTTCATGCCCTGATGGCATTCATTCTTTTTTTTTTTTTTAAATATTATTTTTTAGTGTTAGGTGGACACATATCTTTATTTCTATGTGGTGCTGAGGATCGACCCAGGCCCTCATGTATGCTAGGTGAGCGCACCACCACTGAGCCCCAGCCCAGCCAGATGTCACTCATTCTTGACCTCTCCTCCTCTTTTCACTTACTGTCTGTGTTTGAAGGACATAAAGATTATAAAAATCCTGTCTAGGGGTGTAGCTCAGGTTCTAGCATGTGAAAAAATAAGCAAAATACTTCAGAATTCTTTGTTGTAATTTTCTTTTCTTCAATAGCAGATTGAGCCCAAGTGCTCTACTACTGAGCTACATCCCCAGCCCTTTTTATTTTTATTTTGAGACAGGATTGTTGCTAAGTTGCCCAGAGTGGTCTCAAACTTGTGATCCTCCTTTCTCAGCCTCCCAAGTTGCTGGGATTATGGGCAGGCGCCACCACATCTGGCTCAAGAACTCAATCTCAACATCGCAATGTGCTTTGATTTCTTTTTCCATCACAATTAAACATGCAGTTGACTCCTCAAATTTAGTGTGTGCCCTAGAGATTTGCTGCTTTAGCACATCAACCAGTTTCCTTCTTGCGTCTATGATTTTGAGTCTTCTCTCTAGCATCAACGCTCTCCTGTTTCATTCATTTTTAGAAAATAAAAGTAAATCGCAATATGATCCAAATCACGTCCTGTGCCTGCACACCAAGTGGAACCGTCCTGCTGGCCGGCAGGTGTCCCCCATGGCAGCTCTGAGCCTACGACTGCTTGTCAGCTCGTGCTGCATCTGAAGGGTGGCTGGCCTTGTCAGCATATAAAATATGACGACGGGATATAAAGATCATAGGGGACCTTTCTGTTCTGGCCCACCTTGTCTCTCCCCACGTCTCTGCCTCCGCCTCTGAATGCTGGTTCTGTCCTCAGCACCATGGCCTGGGACCCAAGGCTGCGGGAGAGTCCATACGCACATACAGGTAGCAAGCAACACTCACACGCGCACACTCTGCTGAATGACACGGATCCAGGTGCTCCGGTCATCCCGGGACGCTGTATGCACCTCATACATCTCGGGCGGGGCCGCGCTGATCAGGAACATCCCTTTTTCCTGGTTGGCGATGTCCCGCACTATCAGATTCTGCAGCGACACCACTGAGGGCTTGTCCTGCCAGTCGGTGGAGAGGAAGGATTAGGATTAGGAATACTGAGGTGCTTGGATCTTCAACCCAAGATTGCCCCAAGGATTGAGGAGGACCTCCTACAATACAAGTCAAGAGGCCAGGCTCCAGTGCCATCTAGGAAAAACTCAGAGCTAGGAGCAATGGCGCATGCCTGTAAACGCATGGGCTCTGGGGCTGAGACAGGAGAATCATAAGTTCAAGACCAGTCTCAGCAACTTAGCCAGACCCTGTCTCTAAATAAAATATATTTTAAAAAGGCTAGAAATATGGCTCAGTGGTGAAGCACCCCCTGGTTCAATCCCTGGAACCCCCCACCTTAAACAAAAAAGGAAAGAAGAATGAACTGGGCATGGTGGCACATGCCAATAATCCCAGCGACTCAGGAGGCCGAGGCAAGAGGATCACAGGTTAGAGTCCAGCCTCAGCAGCTTAGTGAGGCCCTAAACAATTTATCGGGACCCTGTCTCAAAATAGAAAATAAAAGGGGTTGGGGATGTGGCTCAGTGGTTGAGGGCCCCTGGCTTCAATCCATGGTAGCAAACAGAAGGTGTCTCACCAGGGCAGGAAAGATGTACTTCTGGTCCTTCTCCTGGAGAAATAGCAGCACATCCGTCATCAGCAGCATCAGCACATCTGGTTGGGGAATGAAGGCAGAGAAACAGTCAGCACTAAAGGGTCTGACAGGTGCTGCCTCGATCCCAGGGACCAGGCCCACCCTGTCAGCAAGAACTTCCAACCCCTCACCCTGCTCTCTTCCCTCTGGGTCACTTATCCCACCTTCTCAAGACTTCCTACCTCCCCATTTTTGGAGCATAGAGAGGGAGGGGCAAAGAAAGATGCCTCAGAGGAAACGCTTTTGGGGCTGGTAGAGACCACGGGTCACAGTGCCTTTGGAAAGAACTCCGTACCCTTACTCAGGTTTCTGAGCCAAGGGTCTACAGACCCCTAGGGTAGCCACTACTTCAGGGCTCTAGAAACCCTCTGAAGTTTTTACATATTAATAGACACACATGTATTTTTCTGGGTGAAATGGTCTAAAATTTTTTGGTTTTATTTTACATTTTTTTTTCTTTTCTGTGGGTCTCGCATCCCAGTCTCAAACCCCTGGACTCAAGTGGTCCTCTTGCTTCAGCCTCCCTAGTAGTTGACACTGCAGGCGTGTGCTTCCACCTCCCAAGAGGCCCAAGATGTTTTTTTTTTTTTGTACTGGGGATTGATCCAGGGGCGCTCTACCACTGGGCTACATCCCCAGCCCCACCCTTTTTTTGTGGGGTTGGGGATTGAACCCAGGGCCTGTGCATGCGAGGCAAGCACTCTACCAGCTGAGCTATGTCCCCGGCCCCTGATCCTCAGCCTTTTTTGGAATTTTTTTTTTTTTTTTTTTTTTAATTTTCAGACAGGGTCTTCCTAGGTTGCTGAAGCTAGCCTCAAACTTTTGATCCTTCTGCCCCAGACTCCTGAATCACAGTGGCGCACCTGGCAGGTCCAAGAACAAGAGGGGCTGTTTTGGGTTTTTTTCTTCCTTTCAGACTTTAAGTGTAACATCTACCTAGTGTTAAGATCTTTTTAGGTATCTGACCTAAATTCCCCCTACCCTAACATATTCCCACTTCCCACTCTGCGCTCAGCAGGGAGGAAGAAAGTTAGTTTCTTTCCACTAAAGCAGGACTGAAAGGCCAGCCTCCCCGTCTGTCTCTGAACAACCCCATCTCCTTGGATCCCAGCAGGATCCGCTTCATCTCCCTTCCTGCCCCCCCTCCAGGCTCTCAGATCCTTTGTGGGCCTGCACTGCAAGACGGAGGGGGAGACGAAGGTCAATTCTGTGACACGTGGTGTCACATACTCACCCTTTGCCCTTGGGGATCTTACTAAACTGTGGGCACACAGAAGAGGAGGGTTTTTGCTAAATGCTTCAGAAATAGAGCTCTCCAGCCTTGCTATTTTTACCCCCCCCCCCTGCTTTATATTCTTAGCTGCTGCGTGGGAGGGATGGGAAGGAGAAAGGGATGGAGGGAAAAGCTGATGAAGACTGACAATATCCAGGCCTGGAGAGGAGGTTTCATGACCTCCATAGAGAAGCCCAGGCAGCCTCCAGCCTCAGGTACCACATTACAGTAGCCCCCATTCCTCGTCCTCAGAACCAAGGCTTGCCCTCTGCTGGCCCTGACTTAGTTAGGAAAGCCTTGCAGGTACAGACCAATTCTGGAAAGTACTCCTGGGAAAGTGCGCGCTGCCCTCCAACATGGCCCCCCTCCTCTGCCCTGACTGTCCCTCCCTGGGCTCAGTGCCTTCCTCTGGGACTTCCCTGGTTGCATTCCCAGAGCTCTGGTGGCTGGGATTCCAGTAGGGGCAATCAACCACCCTGACCTTGTCTTCTGCTCTGAGTGCTTCCATGTCTTCTTCACCAACACTGATGGCTTGTGGGCCAGGTCTGTAACTCAGCGACAGGACACTGGCCTAGCGTGTGTGAGGCCCTGGGTTCAATCCCAAGTAGCACCAAGTAAATAAATAAATAGAGCTGGTGGCTCTCTGAGCATGCAAGGACCAAAGAAATAAATCCGTACCGACAAGTCCCTGTCCTGTCCATGATGTTCAATGCACAATGGAGACTTTTGCTACAACAGACACCATGTCTTTTCCTCCCACTGAGACTCGCCCCTGGGTCAGGACTGCACAACAGGATCCTCAAGGAGGGTACATCTCCCACCCTCCGAGGCTGGACTCTTGCTGGGTCAGGTTACTGACCTTTGAAGCGCCCAGTTGCTGTCTTCCAGAGCAGGCAGCCATCATGGATGAGCTTGCGCCGTAGAAGTTCCTCTCGGCCAAAGGGCCCCTTGCCAGGCACCGGGGCCTGGGCCCGAGGGTCCATGCGGTTGTAGATCTCCTGCAGACGGGCCCCTTTCTCTAGCTCGTGCACATCCTGGTCCACGTTGGACAGCAACTCCTTCACCAGCCCCAGTGCCGCTGTTAGGTCCTGGCGCTCCTCCTCAGCCCCTAGTGCCAGAGGGTGGGCGTAGGGCATGGCACACCTGGCTGTACTCCAGCCCCAACTCCCAGGGGCCTGGATTCTACCTGGAGGCTGCCCAGGGTCCCACGCCTTGTAGGGCCACCGCCAGCCTTTGCTCATCGCAGGCACCCTCTCTACCCACACCTGCGAGTCCCGCTCACCATGGGAATGCTGTAGGATGCGGTTGATGAGCACTGGGTACTTGGTGATGCGCTGAGTTACCAGGAGGATGCACTCCTGGACCCCATGCCGCTTCAGCACAGCTGAACGGGTCACTTTCTGAAAGGGAAGGGGCGGGGCTTGGGGTCATCAGCCATTTACCTCATACTAGGTGACAGTGCTGGACAAGTGGATACCAACACCACGCATCTGTGGTCAGGACCAATCTGATAAGGTGTGAGAAGTATGTGGGGAGCTAGCACAAAGTGCTCTGCCACCATGAGGGGTGACTGCTGATCGGATCCAGGAGTGGACAGGTCCATAAATGGCGAGCCCATGAATGGTCTGGACCAGGACAGGTGGCTCTGAGCACAGGTCCTAGGGAGGCTTGCTCACCCGAATGAACTGCTGGAAGCGTTTGTCTCGGGCATACAGCTCCTTATAGAGCTTTAAGGCCTTGGTGTGCCGGCTGCAGAACTCTGCATAGGTCTTCCGCATCTGCTCCGCACTGGGACCTGAGAACTAGAGGTCAGGGAGTGAGGCTAGCTCAGCATTTCCCCCAAAGTCACAGCTTCTCCCCTGGACTCGCCTTGGGCCTCCTGCCAACAGGCTGGCTTCTTGCCCCTCCAGCTAAAGTTCTGTTGTAGGCAAGAAACAAGCCCACCCCACCCCCAGTCACACCTCCATGAACACTGCCCAGGGGTCCTGCCTCTCCCACCTGGCTGATGAGCAGGTCACCCAAGCGATGGATGACAAAGTTCCGGGAGCTGCCAGGGCACAGAGCCTGCCGTCGGCGTTCTAACAGCTGGCTGAGGAAGCGCGTATGGATGTCACTGAGCTCATCCACACAGGGGAACAGGCCCTGCACAACTCCTGGCTCCAACTGCAGCTCTTCCAGCATCCCCGTGCGGAAGAGGCGGGTCATGATCTTCAGCGTCCTCACATGGTGCAGCTCCGTCTGAATCAGCTCTGTGGGGACAATGGTACGCTTGGTTTTCTGCTCTGGCTTGGCCATGATTTGTGGGGCCCTAGGTTGGTCCCTTCCAGGTTAATATCTCCATTACTGTGATCTTAGATAATATTTTTGGTACTGAGGATTAATCCAGGGTGCTCTACCACTGAGGTACAACCTCAGCGCCCCCCCTCTTTATCTATCTATCTATCTATCTATTTATTTATTTTATGTGGTGCTGAGGATCCAACCCAGGGCCTCACTCCTATGAGGCAAGTGCTCTACCACTGAGCTACAGCCCCAGCCCCCAACCTCAGCCCTTTTTATTTTTTATTTTGAGACACTAAGTTGCCAAGGCTGGCTTGAACTTATAGTCCTTCCACCTCAGCCTCTCAGTCACTGGGATTATAGGTGTGCACCATTAGAAATGTCTGGAGTCCCCAGCACAGTGTTGGGTAAGGAAAAGATACAGAATGGGGACTGAATTGAAGAAAAAATAAAGGTGGAGCCTTGGAGCCAGGCATGGTGGCATACACCTTTAATTCCAGTGACTCGGGAGGCTGAGGCTGGAGGATTACAAGTTCAAAGCCAGCCTCAGCAATTTAGTGAGACCTTAAGCAACTTAGCAAGACCCTGTCTCAAAATAAAACATTAAGAAAAAATGGCTGGAGATGTAGCTCAGGGGTTATACACAAGTGCCCCTGAATCCAATCTTTGGTACCAAAAAAAAAAAAAAAAAGATGGGACCTTCGCCATAGAACAGAGAGGTAGAGGTCCAGAGGGAAACCTGATACCAAGCAGGGTCGTGGAGGTCAACAGGTTAGGAGGCAAAGGTCGAAAGAGGCGGGAGATGGCAGAAAGTAGGACACAGAGAAACGGGACCTGGTGAAGGAGGAGGAAGGCGAGGGTGGGCGTGCTCACCGTAGATGACGTCCTGCTGCTTCATCACCTCCTTCTTGTGCTGCTGCAGGAAGCTGCTATCCACAGCAAGGCTCCAGGAATCAGCCGCAAAGTCCTTCTCATCCATTTCAAAGTCGCTCATCAGCTCATTGTAGATCACCTCTGCACCTGGACCCCAGTGGGGGCAGCAACTCAGTCAGACCCTCTTCAGTGGGTCCTGGGCCCTCCCAGGTGCTTCCACCAGCCACTCATTTCCATCCCCTCTTCGTCTTCTCCGGGTCAGCCCCAGGCCCTGGCCACACTCACCTTCATCAATGAGGGACTCCACCGACAGAGTTCGGTTCCGCATGTTGAGCGAGTCTGTAGACTGAGAGAGGATCCGACGCAGCCCCAGGGGCGTCTCATCATTGAAATGTCTGAAGGGAGTGGAGGCTGTCTGCATCACCCTCATTCAGGCCAAAGATCCCTTCCCCGGCGGGGACCCAAGGTGGGATCTGAGAGGTGGTCCCCTGTGTTCTCCTTACTCCTATTTTTGTGGCAGTGCTGGGATTGAGCCCCGCAGTACTCTACTACTGAACTGCATCCTCAGCACCTCTTGTTTTTTTATTCTGATGCAGGGTCTTGCTAAGTTACTCAGGGCTGGCCTGCAACATTCCTCCTGCCTCAGTCCCCCCTGAGTCGCCGGGATCACAGGCGTGCACCACCCCACCACCTGGTTCTCTGTCTCCAATTCTGAACTCAGGGACAGAAGACCCTCTCAGCTCCCTAGGGCTCCCTACTCTCTGATGCCTAGCTCCCCTTCCCCAAATAAAGGCTCACCCAGCAATGTTGGTGGTGGAGACACTCTTGGCTAAAGACAAGGAGGAGCGGCCACGGCGGGAGCCCAGAAGGGACTGCCGGAAGCTGTCAGCGGGGTAGATGGCTGAGGAGGGCCGCTCTCGGGTGGCTGCTGTTGGGGAGACACGGTGAGCAGGCAATTCCAAACGCTGGTGCCCTCCCAGGATTTGGAGCTCCTAGGCTCCTCCTCACTGGAAAGGACGTGTCCTCTCCTGCCTTCCCTTTTGTACAAGAGAGATGGTCACAGTGACAACAATGCCACTGTCCATTTACGCCATCCTCCAGTGTTCACGTGTTGGTGACACATCTCCTCCCCCAAACAGCCTGAGAGCACACTGAAGCTCAGGAAAGCAGAAAGACCTGTCCAGGGTGACCCAGGGATGGCGAGTAGGGACACGGGCTCTGCTCTTCCTGCCTGAGCATCATGTTCTTTCTGTCATACCAAAGCTGTCAGAACGGACACTTGACAGCCACTGCCAACACTCCCCCAAATGTCGTGTGTACAACTGACGAAAACAACAAAGGACGCGGCCAACTCAGGTGACCAACCATCCCACGGCTTATCACATTGGGTCTCTCCCGTTCTGCCCCTAAACCCAGGAACCTGTGCCATCCCTAAGCCCCACTAGCTGCCTCCACTAAGGAGAGGAAGGTGCTGTGCCTGGGAATGACCTCAGGGGGGCAGCAGAGCCTGTGGACTGAGCTGCCCGAGGTTCAGGGTCTCAAGGGAGCTACTCACTCTTACTGCGAAGGGAAACAGACTGCAAGGCAGTGTTGTTCTTCAGCAGGGCGGCTTTCTGTTGCTGTGAGACAGAGCGAAAGAGACACCAGGAACAGCTGTCACCCAAGGATCCCCCCGAGGCCTGGGGTAGGAGCTGGGCAGCTGGCCCCTCAGGAGAAAGCTGGCACTGTGGTTAGGGCATGGGGTGGCTGACATAACTCCAATTCTGTGGGGCTGTGTCTAGAGCCATAGGCCTGGCCACTCAGGGGACCCAGGGCCGGGGGTCAGGTTCTGGGTTGCCCTGTGGTGTGGAGGACGTGGCAGGGGATGAATGGAAAAGGCTCGAGGTCACCACGCTTCCTGCCCTCTCCCCCAGCCCTCTGCCCTCCCTGCCGTCTCACCTTCTGCTTGACCTTGGTACAGTTGGCGAGGGTGTCTTTACAGCGGTTGTGGATAGTCACATTGCAGGCTGGGAGGGTGGGGTAGAGAGGGTGAAGGGAGGGCCAGGTGGTACAGGAGGGGACACACCCACATGCAGACACCCAAGTCCCCCTAGCCACACGGTCCTCAGACACTCTCCCCCTTCCCAGACTTCTCAGCCATTGCCACACCCCACTCCCTCCCTCCCACAGCCCTTTCCTTCAAGCAGGAAGTGGAGAGGGGGGTCTGGGTGTGAAATGAAATAAAGCAATCAGGAGAGATGGACAACCCTGAACCAAAAATGGCCGTGACGGGACAGGAGGGAGAAGGGGTCATGCTGCCAGGGATGAGCTCAAGCACAAAAGAGGTGGAGAGTGGCAGATGGGAGCCAGGACTCCCACAGAACAGGAGATGACACCGAGGCAGCTGAGATGGCAGCTAGGGCAGAGGGGGACAGTAACATGCCCTGAGCAAATGCCCAACCTTTAATCTATCCCATCAATCCTTGGAGGCTGACTCAACTATCCTCACTTTACAAATGAAGAACGTGTCCTGGAGAAGCTCAATCCCCTGCTGGTGGTGAAGCAGGCCTGAATTCAAAGACCAGACTCCTCCCGTTGTCCCACAAGGATGCCACAGACTCTGGCCGGGTCTAAGCAACTCCAAGGTGGACGGATCCAGCGGGGAAGTTGAGACAAGTCCCTGCCCTGCCCTGCCCTGCCCTGCCTGCCAGCCTCCTCTGTGGCTTGCAGTCAGCCTGCCTTCTCCCTGCCAGGCCTGGGGAGTCCTATTCCCCATGTAAGGCAAACCCACAGCTCCCACACTCCATCTGCTGCTCCTCACCCCCCACCCCACCTTGCCACGGGGTAGGAGAGAAAAGAAGGGAGGAGGCGTAGCCAAGCTCCAGTGTAGGACCACTGCCATCCCCTGCCCCAAATGCCCTCATCCTCAGCCTCCCCAGCTTCCCCTCCCCCACCAACACCACCGGAAACTCTGCTAACTCCTTCAGACAATACCCAGCACCACGCTCACTTCCACAAATACAAGGCCAACAGGGTGGGGCCCAGGGGCAGACAGTGGGGCTGCGCGGTGCTAACCCCCACCGGAGCTCCCTTTTCCTACCCCCAACACCTAGTGTCTCTGGATCGAACCTCCGCTTTCCACCTGCTCTCAAAATAGGGCTGCCCGCCTCCCCAGTTCCCCTGGCAACAAGCTTCCGGATTGGATATTTTGTCAGGTCTCTAGAGGGATCTAGATTGGGGTTCCCTCCTCGCCCTCCTAACTCTAAATCAAGCAAGTGAGGAAGTAGAGGGGAGACCTCACTGGTTCTTTCTGGGGGCTTCTCCCCCCAGTTCCACGGGGATTTGGAGGGGCAGTGCTTCCGCTACGCTGGCCAGTACCAGTCGGAGGCATCTCGGCCATAAATCTGGGGAGAACCGGGGGGAGGGGTAAAGTGGAAACCCTCCACATAGGAGTCGCAGGGAAGGAAGGAACTCCTTGTCCATGCTCCAAATCAGGTTTGCCCTCAGACCAGGGTGAGCACTGGGTGCCCTGGCCCCTTGCCCTCCTCCACACGTCCCTGCTGGCTTCCTACGCTGTCTCTCAGATTGGAAACTGATCTGGATGATCAGATGGGGGGACCTCATCCCACCCTCTCCTTGAAACAGGGATTTCACAGACTCCACCCACAGTCAATAGATAGGAAGGGCAAAGGGACCCTGAATGTCCAGTTCTGCCCAGGAAGATGGGCGGAACCAGCTGCAAGGTTGGTAGCTTTCTGGCCAGATCCTCTCTCACCCCCCTCTGCAGACACATTCTTGCTTCTTCTCCAATCACTTCCCCTAACCCTCAACAGCTGTTCAGGAGCGAGAGGGATACCCAGTGGTGACAGCTGCAAGCAGAGTCCTCCCAGCCTCCCCTCATCCGCATTCCTCAATAGACCCGCTCATGCCACATTCCAACAGCCACTACCCTCAGGGTGAGAAAGGGAGCAAGCATCTGGCCCCGGCACTTGGGCCCAGCTGGGGGTTCAGAAAGGGAAAGTCCCCCCTGTATGGATCCAGGGCCGACAGGACAGATGGGAAGACAGGGTCGGTGGGCACCGGGTCTGAGTGACAGGGGCCAAATAACTTACTTGGGCAGACGAGGGCTTCCTTGGCGGTGATACTCTTGTTACAGGCATAGCACATGGTCATGCCCGAAACCGTGATGGTGGTGAAGAGGTGCCCGTTGGTATAGCGGGCATCCTTGGCTTCCTTCATCTTCTCCTTTTCCCGGGCCTGTGGAAGGAGCAGGAGACACAGGAAGTGAAGTTGGACAAGGCCAGGGGCCTGGAGTCAGAGACAGGCTGAGGGCAGTGAGGGAGAGAAGCCAGCCTGGGCAGGCTGCAAAGACACCAACTCCACAGCAGGACTGCCCCGGGGCTCAGGGTGGCTGACCAGGAGTAACCAGGCCCCGAGTGGCCAGTCCCGAGAGGGTTTCGGGGTCCCTGACCCACCTGGCCCCTGCGGCTGGGTTGCCTCCTGTTGCCACTCATCTCCCTGCTCTGGAGCGCCGCGTCCTCACTCCACCTCCCAGCCCCAGCTCTGCTCGCCCCCGGGCTGCTGTACTCCCTTCCCTGTGCTGGGGGAGATGCGCAGAGCGGAGGGAGAGCGGGCGAAGCAGAGGGTGCCAGCTCACCAGCGCTTTCCAATCTATGGGAGTGAGCTCCTCTCATAACCATGACAACCGGTGTTGGAGCGGCTGTCTCTGTGGCAGTCACGGGAGGGGGGTGTCAGGGATGGGAGGGCAGGAGATCCCCATATTAGATTGGCTGAAAGGACAGAATGCCTCCAGGGCCACCCCCAACTCAGGGGTCAGGATGCCAAACCTTTAACTCTTCTACCCACTTAGTCAAGGTCACATGCTGCCCCCTTTCTGGGAGGCAGCATGTCCCCCACTAATCTCTAGGCAGGGGGAACCTGGGTTTGGTCTCAGGTCACTCCTCCTCTCTGGGACCTTTAAGGACAGAAACAGCCAGCCAGCTTGGTGGTCCCAGCAGAAAATCCCCCCTGCAGCTAACTTTTACCCTTCTCAAATTACACTCCAGAGACAAGACCTGTAAGAGCTCTCAATTGCTCCTAAACCAAATGGTCTCCCTCATTCTATAAGTCCTTCCTGACATCTACCTCCCTCCTTCCAGCCCTGCTCTCTGCAGAGATGGGGCACACCCCACATGGCCCCTCCAACCTCAGGTGGGCCTTTCCCATCTCGGCCTTCCTTCTCCAGCTGCCCACTGGCCTGTGAGTCAAGTCATTCTCTCTGACTTCTTTTCTGTCCTTCCTCAAAAGCCTATGAAGGTGGGGGTGGGGCTGGGGCTGGGGCTTGATGGCAGTGGCTCCCCTTGCATGCGTGAGGCACTGGGTTCGATCCTCAGCACCACGTAAAAACAAAATAATATGTCCACCTAAAACTAAAAAAATAAATATCTTAATATTTATTTACATAAATAAATATTTTTAAAAGGAAAAAAAAACACCTATGAAGGTGAGAAGACTGGGAGACCACTCACTGATCCCAGAACCTTCTTCAGTTATCACCTCAGGTCTCTAGATCTCTGTCCTCCAGAGCGGAGGACAAAGCAGGAAGGGAAGCTAACCACTCCCTTCAAGTTCCCTTTGCCTTTCAGAAATCAAACACCAGAGCCAGCCTCGATGGCACATGCCTGTAACTCCAGGAACTGGGTAGCTCAGGCAGCAGGATCACAAGTTCAAGACCAGCCTCAGCAACTGAGAGACAAGGTCTCAGAATAATAAAAGGGGCTGTAGAGGTAGTTCAGTGGTTAAGCACCCCTGGGTTCAATCCCCAGTACGAAGGAAAAAGAAAAAAAAAAAAAAGCAGGATTCAGATGATCCAGGATATGAGCCCCAAAGTTGGGGACCTTGGTGGGGAGCCTTCAACCTGGGCCTGAGGAGGCTGGCCCTGACTGGTTCCAGTCCCACTGGCAGGAGGTGGGGGAGGGGAGAGACGCAGACCGATGCTCAGGGCAGAGGGGGTAGAAAAGGGAAGTACAGGGGCTGAGTCAACAAATAGGGCCAGAGGGCACTGGGCTGTGGTGACCTGGAGCCCAGGGCACTCTGGTGGCTCCAGATCCTCCTCCCAGCCTCTTCTCAGCCCGGGTTACCTGACAATGAGCAGGGCCCAGAGGCCCAGAGGCCAGTCCTTGTCCCCGCCCCATGCACCTCCCCACCCCCACACTTTGTTTCTTTCCTCCTGCCTTATCCATTTTTTTGGTACCCAATTGAACCCAGGGGTGCTTGACCTCGGAGACACATCCCCAGCCCTTTTTTGTGTTTTATTTAGAGACAGGGTCCCGCTGAGTTGCCAGGGCCTTGCTGGCCACTGGGGTTATAGGCACAAGCCACCTGCGCCCGCTGGCCTGGCCTTCCTTCTCTTCCTATCTCCTGGTCCTCAGCTCTCAGTTCAGGTTCTCCCTCCTCTGGGCCTTCACCTGTCTTCCTTCCCTAGGTGGCTTCCTTCAGCTCCGCCCCCATGTGACCAGTGAGGGCCTCGGTGTCCCTCCCCTCCTCTTCCCTTCCGCCTCCTCCTCCGTGGTGCAGGCCACTCCTCCTCCCCTAGTCCTCCAGCACTGTGGCCTCCCGTTTTCTATACTGGCACCTGCCTGCCTCAATCACCAGAACAGTCTCCCGCGGATCTAATCTGCGGTCTTGCTCCAAGGTGTAGCTCTTTAGTTGATCCAGTGTTTTCAGAAGATCACAGCTGCCTCTGAATAATAACCTTGTGGGACCCTCAGAGACCAAGTCCAGATCCAGATCGCCCTTCTCACTGCCGTGCACTGTCCCTACCTTCCTCATCTCCTGCCCTTCCAAAGCAGTGGCACTTATGACATTTGAAGTCAAAGCAAGCAAGCAAACGTAAAGACAGCATTCAAAAGAGCAGCGTCACTGGCCGGGGTAACTCAAAAAGGGGCAGTGTTTCAGATCTGTCCTGGTGCTGCTAGAGTTCCCCTTTCCCAATTTCCGCACAGCCCTCCCCCTCCCCTCTCTCTTCACGTGCATGACACTCACCTGCTTGGCCAGCTCTGATGAGCACAGCAAAGGGAGAGGACTAGGGCAAGCAGAAAGCCATCTCTAGTGGCCCTTCCCCTCTCTGGCACAGATGCCCCAGTGACAGCCAGGGTACCCTGGGCCCTGCCTGCTCCACCCCTGAACACTCACCCTCTCTCCGAGTGACCCCCTCTCTAGGTGGGCCAGCAGCGGGCAGCAGCCCCAGCAGCAGCACATCCCAACAGCAAGCGGCCCTGGCACTGCCTAGCACTATTGTCCCAGAGGTGGCCTGTGCCCGCCCCAGGGCTCCGGCTGCTGAGGATGGAAGGACATGGAGCCTGCTCTCCAAGGGAATCGGCTCCAAAGGTGGGATGAGTGGGCTGGTTTGGATTTCTGTCCTATTCTCTTCCAGGTTGGTCGTTTGGTTTCCTAAAGGGGATGTGACCCCACTGAGCCATATCCCCGGCCCTTTTTTTTTATTTTTTAGAACCCAGGGGCGCTTTGCCCATGAGTTATGTCCCCAGCCCTTTTTAATTTTAAGATAGGGTCTCACAAAGTTGCTTATGCCCTACGTTGCTGAGGGTAGCCTTGAACTTGTGCTCCTGCCTCAGCCTCAGGAGTTGCAGGAATTATAGGCATGCGCTACCATACCTGGCTCGTCCAGGTTTGTTTTTTAACAAAATCACATTGGGTGCTCACTACTAAAATTGGAACCATACAGAGAAGATTAGCATGGCCCCGTGGAAGGATGACATGTAAATTCATGAAGCGTTCTATATTTTCAAGGGAGGGGGCATAGGGGTAGGAAAGATGGTGGAATGAAATGGACATCATTACCCTAAGTACATGTATGAAGACCCAAGTGGTGTGACTCTACTTTGTGTACAACCAGAAAAATGAAAAAGTGTGCTCTATATGTGTACTATGAATTGAAATGCAATCTGCTGTCATGTATAACAAATTATAATAAATAAATTTTTTAAATGTTTTTTTAGTTGTAGGTGGACACAATACCTTTATTTATTTTTATGTGGTGCTGAGGATCGAACCGAGTACCTCACACGTGCAAGGTGCACACTCTACCACTGAGCAACAACCCCAGCCCCATAAATAAATAAAATTTTTAAAAAATAAAATAAAATCACATTGGAAGCCAAACACAGTGGCACATGCCTGTAATCCCAGAGGCTCAGGAGGCTGAGACAAGAGGATTGCAATTTCACAGCCAGCCTCAGTAAAAAGTGAGGTGCTAAGCAGCTCAGTGAGACCCTGTCTCTAAATAAAATATAAAAAAAAAAAATAGGGCTGGAGATGTGGTTCAGGGGCTGAGTGCCCCTGAGGTCAATCCCTGGTACCTCACACACACCCCCAAAAAAGAAAATCACACTGGGCTGGGGTTGTGGATCGGTGGTAGAGCGCTTGCCTTGCTCATGTGAGGCACTAAGTTTGATCCTAAGCACCACATAAAATAAATAAAATGAAGGTATTATGTCCATCTATAACTAAAAAAATTGAAATAAGAAAATCACACTGGTTCCCATTTACCTACTTCCAAGCAGGACAGACCTTCACCTGCTGCATGTTCCAACCTATCCACTGAGAAAATGCCCATCTACAATTCACAACACCCTCAAGGGCCTGAAGCCCTCCTGCGCTCCAGCCTCCTGCTGTCTGGCAGCCAAGGGTCATTCTGCCTCTTTCTCACAAACCTCAGGAACCCTCTTTCCAGCCTACTAACCTTCCTCTCTGCCACTGCTACATCAAAGATCAAGTGAAGGAACAGTGTGAGCACACCTAGCAAAAAAGACTGCCAGGCAGGTGGCACACTGTGATCCCAGAGGCTCGGGGAGGCCAAGGCAGGAGGACCACAAGTTCAAAGCCACCAGCCTCAGCAACTTAGCAAAGGTCTAAGGAACTCAGTGAGAATGGCAGGGAAGAGAAGGACAACAAGATCAAGCACATCAAGAGAAGGACATCAAGACATGGGGGTCTCAGCAGTACCCTGCTCTGGGGACCCCACTCATTTCTTACACGGGCCTCCAAGTCGTCCCCTGCTCCACAACCACTTTGGTTCCAGGTGCAGTTAGCAGCAGCCCCTTTCCCAAGATGGTGAGGCCTCTGCCCAGACCAGAGCCTAGAGAGTCTAGAGGGGTGCACTGGGGGGTTTGAGTCACCTGTAGCTCAGCCCCCAGACAGCAAAGATGCAGAGTCACTAAGTCAGGGGGGACAAACCAGAAGCTTCCTGCCCATGACTGAGAAAAGAACCTGGGATGCTCTCAGCTAGGCCAGGCCCCTTTAGGAGCTTCCAGGGACAAGATGAAGACTGGAGGCCAGGAGAAGGCGGCCAAATAGAAAACACTAGTTCCAAGGGCAGAAACAACAAGGAAAATAGCAGTGAACACACACAAAGGCACTTAATAAATGCTTGCTTAATGAACGAAGATGAGACCGGTAATGGGGGCCAGCACATTGGTGAAGGGCACTTAGGGCCACAGGGAATAAAATGAGGCTAAAGACCCTGAGACCCAGTCACCCTGGACCCCAGCCTGCCCCCTACCCCGCCACACCTGTCAGGCCAGGAGAGAGACAAGCGGGGGTGGGGGGAACGATGCAAACAGACGGGCATTTGTGCAAGTGAACAATAGCCGTGCCAGGACTCCCTGCCCTCCTGGCACAGGGCAGGCCGGCTGAGTCGGGAGGGGGCAGCTGCTGCCTGCAGCCTTCCCCGCTCCCCCAAGGGGACACAAACAAACCCAGCCGGCCCAGCCAGCCAGCGTTTCTCAGCCATTTCCCCTACCAGCTCCAGAAACCCTGACCAGTCCACTCATTGGGCTCCTCCAAGATTCTTCGAACCAGAGGCCAAAGCTAAGAATGGAACCACTTCCTCATGTCCAGAGGGCATGATCCCCTACTCTGGTGTCCATACTGCAAACAGTAACTTAGAGCACAGCGGGACAGGGACAGACACACAGAGGAACATACCCCAACACTCAGGTAACATGCACACATGGGATTCACATTCCAATCCGTCCCTTCCCGGATTCCAAGGTCACAGCTCCAGAGCCAGGGGATTGACATCGGACAGACAGATGCTTCTTGAACTCCTTGGTCACCCCCAGCAGGTCCTACCTTAGGCACCCCTAGGTACCGTGAACCTCCCCCCCCCACGCAGTCCCCCCTTGGTGACTTAGGCTTTCAGTTCCCTTCCCCCATTCTTGTTTCTCCCCTCCCCCTAGGTCCTTTCCCTAACCTCTATGACCCTCAGAGTCCTTCTATGTCCCCAAAAGCCTCTGCCTCCAGGAGGACCCCAATTTTTCAACTTTCCTCCAAAGCCATCAGCCCTCCGGACTCCCTCCTGGGCGCCCCCAGCCCTCCTCTCTAGCTACACCGTTGGTCCTGCACACAAAGCCAGCCACCTCTCTAGTACCCAGAACAAAGAAAGATCTCTCCTCCTCACTCCCCATTCCACCTGCCCACCATACACTCCAATGCTGGGGTCCCACAGATCCCAAGGGGACCGCCAGCCTCCAGAGCCATCCCTACACCTCTGGCCCTGGTTGGCAGAAAAGGATCTTTTGTTCGGAGGGACCTGAAGGTTAGGGCTGGGGAAAGGAGGGAGGGAAGAGCAAGGGACGAAAGGGAGAGAGAGGGGATCTGTGGGCTTTGGGGTTTGAGGAGGTAGGAAGTAGAGCAGAGAGAATTAAGGGGGTGGAGATCTGAAGACAAGCCTGGAAGAATAGAAACGGAGTGAAAAGAAAAAGGAGCCTGGGGGGGCGGGGGCTCACAGAAAGATCCTAAGGGGTGGGAAGAGAAAGAGGCAGGTTGTACTCCAGTTCCTCCTCCTAGGAGGAGCTCCGGGGAGTAGGGCAGGGACGGGGAGCAGGTGGGGTGCCGGACCCATCCCCCCACATAGGTAGCAGGGAAGAGACCATCTTCTTCAAATAATCTCCTTTCCAGTGCCCCCCTTCCCACCACAGTATAAAAAGAAAGGAGACAGCTGGCGTGCTTGGGGGAGGGGGGAGAGGGGACCCAGGGTTTGTTGGCTAAGAACCAACTCCCCCCTTCTGTAACCACAGCTTTCCGGAGGTGGCGGTGGTGGCCCTCCCCTTCCGACCAGCCCAAACTGACACCCTCCTCTTGTGGCCTCAGTGCCCTCTCAGATCCACCCACTCAGCCCCGCACTCCCCTTCCCCCAGCCAGATTCCCAAATACCCCCTCCTCGGCCAGCTCCAGGGCAGAAAGAAGAACTGGGTTTCCGGATGCCCAGTTCCCTACTGGGGGAGGTGACAATAAACAAACAAACAGCTACAAAAAAGAGAGCACAGGTCCAGGTATATGGCCCCTGGCCCCCTCATTAATGGAGAAAGGACCCCAGTATCTAACCTCTGGAATCTCTCCCTGTGCCCCTCGCCAGGTCTGCCCCTCCTGCCGCTCCCCCGTGGCTTTCCTTTTTAGGGTGGAACCGTATTTCCGTGGTTTCAAAAAGCCTCTCCCGCCCCCCCCTTGGCTCTACTCCAGGGTCTCAGCTCAAACGGTTGAAAAAATAAACAGACTTTTGGAGCTGGGGCCTGGCTTGGCGCAGGGTTGTGAAGAGCCTGTCTGCCACCCCACTGTTCCACCACACTTCGGCCACCGCACCCTGGCCCTCTGTTTGTCTTAGGGGTTACTCAAATCCCCGGCTGCTTTCGGGTTAGCAGAGTCTAATACCAATCCCCTGAGAAAGTCCTAAAGCCTCCTTCTCTGCCCCTCTCCATCCCCACCTCTGCCCTAGGTTGGACCTTCTCCCAGTTAGCACCAAGACAGGTAGCCTGGCTAAGAATCAGCAGGGAGGTGGAGTGAGGGGACTCCATCTCCTGGAGGGCTCCAGGGGAGTACCCTTCCCTTGCCTGAAGATGGTAATCAGCTAAGCTGGCCACCCAGCAGACATGGGAGGAAAGCCAGAGATGAAGATCAAAGCAGCTCTGGGCTGGGTTCTGGCCTTTCTGAGAACCAGCACAGTGTGGAAGCCCCACGGAGCTGGAAGGTGCTGTCTGCATACACCACCTTCCTCCCAGTTCCCAGCTGCTCAGCTAAAGTCAGTTTGATCGTTTTCTGGGGCCTGGGGTGTAGACGGGTCATAGCATTTGGGAATGGGTCTGGATACAAAGACAGGAATAAAGGATACTTTAAAAGCAGTGGCCAAGAGGTCATGGTGTGTGTGTGCGCGCGCGCGCGTGTGTGAAATTATACACCCAGACTCGAGATGACAGGTAAAGGGCCTCCAGCACCAGGAAATAAGAGAATAGGCGCCGAGGACGGCAGAGAGGGGCAGGAAGGCAGTGCCCAGGTCGGTCCGCCTAAGGCTTTCGGGATTGGGAGAACAAGGAGCTTGGAAGGCTGGTGGAGCAGAGAGGGATGGGGACCACCCCGCGTTCCAGGCTCAGGGGTGCTCCGTGGGGAGGAGAGAATCCCAGCTACACAAAGACTTCTGCTCCCTTCACCTGGGGTGATGGCCTGGGGCCCGGGGTGGGGAAGGGGGATGAGCGTCGCTCAGCGGTCCTGACCCCCACCACCCGCCCACCCGAGGGGAGAGCTGAATCACAGCTGGAAAGCCCATTTGCGCGGAGAGGAGGAGCTGACTTTTGTCTTGGAGGGGTGGTGGTGGCGGTGGCGGTGGCGGTGGTGGGAGGAAGCTGGGAAACCACCCCTCCCGCCCCCTCCGCCGGATGGCGGGGACAAAGGGGGAACGACCTAGCCGGCGGCCGGGGCGGGGGTACGGCCGGGGTCGACCCGGCAGCCGCCCG